TGCTTTGAGGCAAAGATTGTTTGTTAAATAACATGTTAGTACTAATATACCTTAAGAGAAAACTCTAGTTATAGTCTGTTTGCCACTACTTATCTAACTGATACCTCCAATTAAGTAAAATATAAAACAAAGCAAAACCTAAAATCTATGACACAGGAAAAAGAAGAAAATATTAACTGGATATCTGTTAAGTAGGGAGAAATAAAGCCCATTCTTCAACCTATATTCCTGCCCACCAGTTCACTTCTATCTACTCCCATCTATCTGGGTTTGTCACCTGATGGTGCATTTCTTTTCTTTGCCTCCTTACCTATATGGTTTGATGATGAAATCTTTGAGATTCCATCATCCCTTACATTATTTATTGAGGTTAAACTTAAGGCAAGGCAGTATTTAGAAATTATAACACTATTTTTAGGAAATGCCATTAGTAGGGAGGGAGGAGGTTAAAAGTTCTGCAGTTCCTTTAACATGTGACTCAACCAAGATCTCACTTCTTTGGCTCTATCGTTGGTTAAGTTCCATTTTAAAAAATGGCTTTTGCCCTAATCTGTTTTCTAAGGAGGGCGATAAAATTGTTTATCGAAGCCAAGGTCTTTTGTGTGAGAATGAAACTGTGAACAGGAGGAAGGTCAACCCTCAGCCTAGGGGCAAGCCCCAGACACTAAACTGGATGTCAGTAACCTGGCTCACCCTGGGATTTTGTCATATCATCAATAAAGTGTCACCTGTGTATATGGTGGGGCATACAGGAAGGTAAAGGTATCACTGAAAGGCATTGTTTGTCATTAAAAATACAAACATCTTTTCTTCTGAATTAAAGTTTGGGTCTATGTTCTGGGTTCTTTCTGCAACCCCCTTACCAGAGTGCAGGAGGCCACTTTGATGGTGGCTGAACTGCAACCAGATGGGTACAATTCAAAGGAAGCATTATTTAATTTTTTTTTTTTTTAGAAAGTTGGAGAGAATTCAGAGAATTCAGGTTTCTTTGGTTTATTATCATCACAGTTAATAAGGAGAAACTTGGGAAAATGAATATCAGAAAAGTGTGTAGTTTGGTCCTGATTTGAAATGATCAGAGGAATCCTGACTCATCCAGGAGCTCCTCATAACACTGATCTTTCTCCTTTATTGTGTTTTCATGTTGCTCCCTTCACCCCCTTCCCTCCCCCCTCACTTCTCTCTCTACTCTCTCCTTATTTCCAATATCCTTTTTTGCTTTCCTTTCTTCTCTTACCTGTACTTTCTTGTCTCACCATTCTTTCTGGCTTTTGCCTTCACCCTTTCCCAACCATTGTATTCTTCTAAACTGTCCATGGTTTAGGTCAGTACAGAAGGTCAAGAGCCTTTCGAAAACATTCTTCAGGCCCTAGTTGCAAGAGGGAAGCAGACCTCCCCATCTTCCCCTCAAAGACAGGAATTTTAAGTGAGAACAAATTCCACGATTACTGACAATTTTGATTTGTATTTTCTGGCTACTGATTGTATTTTGATTCAGGTTCACTTAAAGGTTTTTCATTTATTTTGTACTTAAAATATGAACAAAGTCAACTTATTTTTCTCTTTGTGTTCCTAAATAGAGTATATGAAATCATTAGAATTCCACACATCCTATTCTTTTTTATCTCTTTTATCTCAAATGCAAAGCCCCTTCCAGTATATCTTATTTATATGTTATTCTTTTATTTTCATTTCTCAGTATTGCTCTTGGTCTTGAAATGGTAGTCTTGTTAAGTAGTGTTATAATATCTGCAGACTGATTTTGTCTTCTAGATGCACCAAGTTAACTATTTTGTTTCTTAGTTATTGGACAATGGGCATATCTCCACACAATAATGCTAAACTTGCTAATGCAGTGCGTGTTTCTGGGTGAAGAAAACAGGTCATAATGAATTTGCACACACAGAGTTTTTTACATTAGTCTCAAGTCTCAGCTTGTCACATTTTTTATATTTTCTGAGGGCATTCGGAACAAAATATCCCTGCCTTCTGCACAATGTGCTGTTATTTTTATAAAACCAGACTTTTGCCATAATAATGAAGAGAGTGAGCCCCTTTTCCTTTCAAGAGTAGATTATCCCAGCTGTGATAATAAACCTTCTAAGAGGAGTCTTTTACTCCCTTATAAGTCAATGACAGTCTCAAATATTTCCTCTACATATTTTTATCTGAAAGCAAATGGATATTTAAAATAAGTATTTATTGTTGAAAGTATTAATTATGTCACCTTTTTTTTCCCCACATAAATAATATTTTAAATGCTCCATTTTTATAATGGAAGTCTACTGGAATACATAACCTACCAGAAATCGATGGTAAAGAAATGAAATTAAATAATTTTACAGATAAATATATTTTAGATTCTTTCAGTTTATGGCTTCCAGACATTCTTCTCTAATTCTGTAGCTGATTGTATTTTTTTTTTTTAAAAAAATCTATGGTCTGTATTTAATACTATGAAGAGTAGTTTTCAAAATACAGACATTCTCAAAATGTACTTTAAATTTTTAATGACTCTGAAGATTTTTGTAATAAACATATACCATTATATCTTTTAAGGCCAAAAAATAAAACTCCAAAAATTATAAAAATTAAGTTAGTCATTATTATTGAAGTTTTTTCCAAAGTCTCATACCCATTAGATTGAATTTCAATTTCTTATAGGATAATACATAAAATAGAAATAGAGGAAAATATTTAAGATTTTTAATATTTTAATGTTTATTATATCCTCAAAATCACTTTTAAGGAATCATAAATATCAGAAAAATTATCTTTAACAAAGATGAAAGAACATTATTCTTTTCAATTTTTCTAAGTACTTGAATTTGCTATTACAACAGTAAATTTTATTCATTTCAATTAAGTAGAATATACCTTAACCATAGTCAACTACCTATTTCTCTTCTTTATTTTTTTCTTTATTGATTAAGCTATTACATATATATTCTTATCCCCACAATGACTCCCTCACCCCACTCCAATTCACGCCCTCAACCCCCTAGTGTCTGTGTTCATTGGTTAAGCTTATATGCAATCATACAAGTCATTTGGTTGATCTCTCCTCCTTACCCTACTTTCCCTCTGAGGTTTGATGGTCTGATCAATGCTTCTCTGTCTTTAGATCTGCTTTTGTTTTATTTGAGGGGATTAATAGATAATAAAAATAAATTCTATCAAAATAGTATTGTTGCTTTATGAATTAATATTGTTGTTTTTTCTAACAGAAAGGGTATGTGAGTGTGTGTGTGTGTGTGTGTGTGTGTGTGTGTGTGTGTGTGAATACTCTGTGCAAAGTATTCATCTTTAACAAGCTGAATACTTTGCACAGAGGTTAGGAAGAATACTCATTCTCATGTAAAATTATTAATGGGATTTCTTAAACTAGAATAAAGACCTGGTTTTCTAGATGTTTTTAAAAATTCTGCTGATTTCGTATGGATTGAAATCATAGAACCGGAAGGAGAATCAGTAAAGAAATTAGATGCATACCCATCAGCAAGTTAAAAAGTCTTGCTTTTTAAAAGTTATGTTATTATCCTGAGTGTTTCTGCTTTTCATATTTTCCTTCCCTACCTGCAGTCTTTCTAAGTTATTTTAAATTTGATGAATCAGGAAATAGTTGTTCTGAAACCAATTCAGACGCGTAGATACATACACACAGACGTTACATTAATACATCGCACACACCACTTTATGCTCCATTTTGTGACCCGTACGTTTTGTTCCATAAGATTTTTTTCTAAAAACATAGTAAAGGAAAACTCAGTGGAATACAAACCTCAAGGAATTTGAATAGCAAGTTCTAGAATGAATGTTTGGAATTGGTAAGAAAGGATCCCTGGTAAAATCTGTGACATATTTGACTTGGGTCTTTGACAAAGCAGTTTCCCTTCACTCTTGAGACATTAATGGCATTTGGTAGCGTCAAAATAGACCCATGATCCATATTCAGCTGATGACATGAACCAAAGTATTTTAAAAATTAAGTCTAAATCCATCCTGCCATTCAGTTTTGAATTCTTAAGCTTCTTATTGTTTACATACCTTTACTATCTAAATGAAGAAGAGGTAACTTTCTTAATATATCTATTTAATTTTAATTTTAATATTGTTATTAAATAGTTTCTATAAATTCTTTGGAGAAGGTACACCATCAGTAATAGTTGGGAATCCTAGATTCTAACCTTGGTTTCTTGTGGGACTTTGGATGTTAATTTATTTCTTTGTTTCACTTGTTTTACTCTGAGATCAATATTTTGTTTTGGCTTCATTAGTCTTTGTTTAACTAAAAAAGATTGGTTGATTATCTTATTCAAGGGTTAGTCAAGTAAGTGTGTAATGTCTAATGCTATTACTTTTATTGTTATAAATATCTTGTTATTAAGTATCTTTGTCCTAAGCAAAATTTTATTTGTATAAGCAATTAAATTCAATCGAGTATAATAAAAAGTTATTAATATAACCAAATAGCAATACCGATACAAAGAAAAACACACTTATACTTCAGAAAATAAGGGTTTAAGTTTTGAATGCGTGGTTTATAAAAATCGCTACCATCTGTCTAATTCACCTTTTATTTCAGAGGCAGTGTTAATCTAATGCAAAATAGTGGATCAATGAGTAATAGTCCAAAAGTAATGTTTAGAGCAATGGATTCAGAGATATTCTACTTGAATTCAGTGCAGGCATAGGAATGCCGAATGAAGTAGCTGAACTCTTCAGGCTGGAAGGAAGAATATTAACCCCATTTCTTCCTTGTCTAGTAAAAGTAACATATCTTTAATGTTATTATAAGTCTGTATCTGCCTTTTATTACATATGCATTTGTACATGGAACTACGCTGGTAAATTCAACATTGAGCAATCTATTAAAAATAGAGTTAGTCATTTAACTACATAATGCCATTTTTATTATGTCACCATTTAGAAGAAAAGCCAGGCTTTAAAAATAATGGTTTAATGTTGTTCTCTAAAATGAAAACAATAACGTGACCCACCTCCCAATCCTGGTCTTAGGCGATTGTCATAACCATCTAGGAGTCGGTCCAAAATCCTCGTAAAGACAGTGGTATTGTCTTTAAGTTCATCTTGTGTTGATGAGGATTGTCCATAGCTGAAAAAAGCAGAATAGGAGGTGATAACTAAATGATAACATTTCTACTAAAACCTTTTCTCCAGATTTTCCTTCAATTGAATCTTAATTTGAAAAATTCCTCCTGGTGTAGTGAAAAAACAAGTCTTATTTCAATTCCTACCATTTCCTTATACTCGTTCTCATGGGTGATAAGCTCTTTATTCTAATATTTCTAACTATGGAAGGAAAATTATCAGGAAATGAGTTCCTTCTCTTTACATTCATAGTTCTCAGCACGTAAACGCAATGCTCTAATGCTTGTTTTTGTTTTTGTTTTTTCATGGCAAACAAGAAGGTTAATGCATATTGTGAGAGAAATGTTGAGAGATTTCTTCCCAAATAAAAATATAAATATTTATGAGCTACCAACATAATTGTTTTATGTTAATTTCACTTACTTAACATGGGACAGAAGCTAAAATTTCACCTCCTAACATCCCTTTCTTTATCTATTTCATGTACATACTTGTGTGTTTTGCTTTTGTTCTTTTGCTTTTTTTATCCTCACTGGAGGATATTTTTCCATTGATTTTCTGAGTGAGTGGAAGAGAGAGGGAAAGACACATCAATTGGTTGCCTCTTGAACTCACCCCAGCCAGGGCCTGGGCCTAAGAGGAGCCTGCAACTGAGGTATGTGTCCTTGACCTGAATCAAACTCGAATCAAACCTTGGACCCTTTCGTCTGCAGGTGGATGCTCTATCCACTGAGCAAAAACCGGCTGGGGCTGTACTTTGCTTTTTTGATGTTCTTTCAAGATAATACAGAATAGATAAATAGATAAAACGTGTTACTTAGTATAAATACATCTTTACATCATTGAGTAGTTTCCATTCATCTGAAGGTTTATGAACCAATTTAGGTAGTTTTATAATTTGTTTATTCAAGCCTCTAATTAATTGACTTGGTCTTGTAAGTAAAAAAAAAAAAAATACCTTGAAAAAGATATGGTCCAATATTCTTAATTTATGGTTTATTAAACTGTAGTGTAAGATTAGTGTTTTGTTTAAGAAAACACAGCTATTTGTGAGCAGAACTGGAAATAGGACCCGGTTTTCTTCACATTCTAGTCTAAAACTTTATTTCTATTCTTCTATTTCGGAGTACTTGTTTATACTTTAAAGTCTTTATAGTTGAAGGTGTAATTATTCTTTACCATCGCTAGTCTTTGAGTTTCAACCACATAGTGACTGAAATTCAAATATTGTGTCTTTCTTACTTCAATCACATTATCATATTATCTATGCTCCTTGAATCGTATTTTATGTAATGATTAGGATGACACCTCCAAAATCCTGTGAGAGAGAAGTCTTTTAATTTAGGATGGATCACAGTCCATCCACTGATATATTACAGTGATAGCTCTGACCTTGAGTAAAAACAATGTGAATTAGAGAATAAAGGAGACAAATTCCACAAAAATAACACTTTCATATTTTCTGTTTAACGTGCTTTGGTTTGAATCTTGCATTTTTATATTATTGATCAATCCAAAAAACAAGTAGTAACGTATGAAAGTAGGACCCACTTATTTTACAGGAGCAAGATATATAACCAAAATATCATTAAAAAAACATGATTGTTTAATTAAATTTATATCAACAAAATGTAATGGCTATTTTTTTCTGGTAAGTTTTAATTTTATAACATTATAATAACTAAATGCAACTCACAATAGTCAATGCATAGAATATTCCTCTATTAAATGATCTTTAGTTCTCCTAAATTCAACATGAATATCATGCAGATTAAGGGTTTGCTCTCCTTTGGTAAAATTAAACATCATAGTAGTTTTTTAAATCAATTTTTTAATGATCTCTGTATCTTCAGCATGTCTCATTAGTTGATGATAGCAGTAAAGCAAAAATAGTTTTCTGACTGCAATTATTTACAAAAACTCTGTCACAAACCGTCAAATGTTATCGTTCAAGGATATTAGAAGGTCATCCTGATAAAAATGAGAAAGAAATGTTAGCACACCTTACGTTGTGAGAGGGCCAGATCAAGTAATTAAAGGAAGATAGCAATAAAATGAGAAGGGGGAAAGATGAGATGGGTGACATAACAGGGCACAATTAGAATGTTACCATGATTCTTAGAATATGGAGTTAATTATCTATTACTTTTTCCTGTATTCCTTTTCTTTTTTTTTTTTTTTTTTTTTTTTACAGCTTATATCACATTCAGGAAATCCCCCCTCCCATTCTAACCTGTAAATGTTGTATTCACCAATTTTTTTTTGCATTGGAATACAAATGCCAAAAGATATGTATCCCCACACTCCCAGAAAACCGGTTCTGTTATTGCAATTGGAATGGCAACCTGATTTTTAAATGGGATTTTATAAACAGGTATTTTGTCTTTATTTCTAATTCACTCTGCCCCATTGTAATTGTTAGAGAATAGCCTTAGGATAAATATAATTGATTTGCTATTAAACACTCATGCTGATTTAATGTTTTCTAAACTAAATATATAATTTGGTGAGAAATGTCAGTTACGGTACCTGATTTTGACTCCATGTGAACCACTAGATAATAAAACACTGTGCACTACCTCCATCTACAGGTCATTACAATAGTAACACTTCATGTAATTTTTCAAAAGCAGGAAGAACATTTAGCTCCTCAGATTAAGAGTATCTGGCAATAAAGCATTTCCTGTTCATCTGGTAGTCAGTATTTACCACACGAAATACCAAAAATAAAAGCAGCTTCTCAATTTTAAAAATCCTCCTAAAATTTATATCTTCCCAGGCAAGCTATTCTCTCCCTCTGCCTTACACATAAGGGCTCACTTTCCATTACATTTTGAAGAACCTTAGATTTTTATAATATGTCTAAGACTTTCTTATGGGCCATAGGAAATTACATAAGAAATATAAAAGTAGATAAAGAATAATCTGAAATATTTGGTTATTTATATCATTGCTACTATAATATCTTTATATGCTCAGTTGGGTCATTAGCAAACGTTCTGAATATGGGTAAGCATATTATTAAATTTGTCTTATAACTGGTCTCCATAGTAGTTATGCTTAAATTAAGAATTTCAATTTTATCTGACATTCTCAATTATTTTTTGGCATATTTTACCTCTAGTTGTTATATAAGTAATGTTTTCAAAGCATATGTGTCTGCTTTTATTGAGACTAATGACTTTCAAATTACAAATATTATTTTGAACTTTTCACTACCATACAGTCATAAGTTTCTCTACGATTTTACTACTGGTTAAAATTTTTCTTGTTAAAAAATCCACTCACATAGTATGCAGACATTAACTGGGGTAACTTTTCTATGAATAAGAAACGGCTGGTTTTGTTCAGTTACAGATGGACTGTGAAAAAAAAAAGTTCAATTTAAGATTTAAATGTTGAATTAATACATTCCTCAATAAAAGCATAATAAGTGTATTCTAACTAACATATAAATCAGGTGGTTATTTTTTCATAATGCTCTTCCTTATGCTTAACTGGAATCTTATTGCAGTTAAGTTTTTTGAATTCCCTTAGTCATGAATTCATCCAAGGGCAATTTTCTTCCCACTGAAAGAATAAGAGGAAAAGTTACAGAAATTCTCATGCGGATGTAAAATAAAGCATCCCCACCTTCTTCCAGCCAGTGTGCCCAGAAGGAGGGTCCAGGCCCAGAGACAGCCAGGGAGACGCAGGCTCTTCTTCTTCATCGTGGCTTGTGCAGCTGAGAAGTAGAACAAGTAGAGATCAATGTCTCTTGTAGGAACATCAGGTTATAACCACTAGGGCTGACTGAGGCAGTTCAGATGACTGCTTTGAAGTCAGGAAATGACCTCACTGGGCTATGACACCTCATTGGAAGCAATGGAAACCTGGACCTTCCATTCTCCACTGTCCCTTCCATTTCTCCATTTAGATATATACCAGTATCTTAATTTCTCCTATAAAAGAAGACAAGTTGAAATGCTTTCAGGTTACAATATTGCTTAACATAAAAACTGTGGGTCGTTTTTTCTCTCTGGGTTTTATACTTCCTATATAGTTTGCATTACTCTCTTCTTTTTTATTTATTTTTATTTTTTATTAATCATCTGAGAAATCTGACCTTTCTGATTCGTGTTCCTGCAACTGAACTATGCATTGACATGTTTAGGTTGGTGTCTGTCACAGAGAGAGAATATTCAGGGACCGGAAAGGGGAAGGTAAAAATGCTTTCATGACTGAATTCATCTTTGCATTCTGAATGTGCCTCGATTTCAGAAGCAACTGTACTTATGTTTCTCAAAAAAAAAAAAAAAAAAAAAAAAAAAAAAAAAAAAAAACCAGCAACATACGAAACACACTGTTGAATGTCAAAGTCGTGCTTGTATTTTCTGCCTGTGATTGCCTTGTTAAATATGCTCACTAGTGCTTCGGCGAGGCTAAAGGACACACTTTACAGTCAAGCCATGTGCTGATCTCCCTCACACACGCATACCACACTCACATCAGAGCACGCCAACATGCCCACACGTATTTCTCAAGCCCTCTCGTATTCTGCCAGGTTGCTGTTAGAAAATGTTTCATCTCCAACAGATGGAAGCGGAGTGCTTTGCTTTGCATAAATAAGAAACTCTTTTTTTCTCTCGTAGGTAGAGTGTAATCAATCACCATCTGATTGTTGAATTTAGACTTCGTGGTCGGATGCTGGAGAAATGGAATACGGAAGGCTTAGATAATTTTTTAAAAGTATAGTCTATTGGTGGTGTCAATTTTTAAAAGGCACTGCACTACCTAGTTAAAGAGCAGATATGGCAACAATTGATTTAATGTGTTATAATTCATCCCAGTCACAATATGAGAAATGTTCAAGGTATCTGTTAGCAATTTCCTAAATGTATAACAAATCTTTTAAAACCTATTTTTCACTGAACACTCTATCATTGAATGCAGTATGCCTTTAAATACAGCTACCAAATGCTTTCCACACAATCTGGGATCATTTAGATCAGCAAAAAAACATTACAAACAGGCATGTAAGCAATGCAATATAATGTGTTTAGAGTGAAATGGTCTAGAGATAAGAACTGGGAGCATCATAGTTTTCCACTTAATTTACTGTCTGGCGCTGACACAGATGAGTTGGATATGACACAGATGAGTTGGAAATATGAGATCAATTATGTTAAAACATTGCATCGAAATTGCATGATTATAATTCATCCATTTTATTAGTCTTTGACAGCTGCTCTGAAAGAAAAACGGTTTCTTTTCCCCTACTAATACGCGCCGGTTTTTCTTTTTGAAAAATTCCTGAAAGGGTAAATGAGACAGAACAAAACCCCAAGGCAAGGTACCACAGCTTTTTGTTGCTCTAACCTTTTGGAAAGAGGAAAACAAACCTGCCACCACGGCACACGGGAGTTGTTCAGTGAGAAAGTTTCTTGCAAATACAAGCATAATAGTTTAAAAGAACCGTGAAGCTGCCTCCTTCCCCCTTTTCCACCTCCCACCTCCCCCCACGAAACACGCACTCCAAACACCCATGTTCCACGGCGCCCATGTCCTTCCCATGATAAGTTGAGTGGTTTGCGTTGGAATCAGAGAGAGACCCCCACACACAAGGGGGGCATTTCAGCAGCGTGTCCACCGAAAGAATTCCATTCTTGCAGCTGGAAGAGGAGGATGGCTCTCCCCGGCCAGGATGGAACCGCGAGACAGGTTTTCTGTCCCAGCCTTCCTAACTTCAGGCTGTGCCCACCCAAGCCCCTCCCCACCTCACCCCGACTCCCTTTTGGGGAGAGGGGAGGTGGGATGGAAAACAACAACAACAACAGCAACGCGACCAAAACAACAGGTCACCACCCACCCCGTGGGATGCACATTCCAATCCGCTTCGGAAAGGGGGACAGAGAAACAGAGTCCATAGAAAGCAAATGCCCCCCTCTCTCGCTGCAGCTTTCAGCTTGCAAGGGAAACATGCCTTCATGCTACCTGCGATGGGAGCGGGCTCGGTCCGGGTCCCGGTCCTGGTCCCCCGGGCTCCCGCGTCTGTCTGTGGGCAGCAGCCGGGCTCTCCCGCTAGGCAAAGCCACAGCCGCTGAGCGAGCTCAGCCTGCGTGCTGTGGTCGGAAGCAGCACTTACCTCAGGCCCCCGTGGGCGCCGATCGATGATCGATGATCGATTGATTGCTCCAGACCCGTGCAAAGTGTGTGCGAGAGGAAGCCGCGGGGAGCCCGGAGCAGCCCGAGTCCCGGCGGCGGCGAGCAGAGGGACGGGCGTCTGCGCCCAACCTCTCGCTCCCTCGCTCACTCGGTCTGAGCCATCATGGACTCTGCGTGCTCCTCTGCCGAGGATTTCACACCCAGATTGGCTCCCCCAAATCCAATCCGCGGCTCCACAACAAAAGATTTCTCTCTGCCGAGACAGTAGTAATACGTCCCAGGGCAAACCGGATGTGAAATAGGCGGTGACTTCATGCCAGAGAGATTTTATTTTAGAAAGGAAGGTGGTACCAAGTCTCTGGGTCTGGAGACCAATCCGCCCATTTTTTATTTATTTATTTTTTTATATATATATAGATGCAGCACCATTTAACTTGCACCGCTTTTGGCCCTCATCTCCTTCCCCAGCTACAGACTCAGATCCTTCCACCATCAGATGGCTGCTGCGAGCTGTCCCTGTTTGTGGGGCGTCCGGCTGGGGGAGGAAAGGGGAGGCAGGGGGAGAGACCTAGGACCCACGTTCAGGATGCTTTTTGGTCCACTTTCCATGTAGGAGCACGCTCTGTGAACGTGTGCCCGTTCCAAACAAAAGCGGATCGGGGGTAACTGGCCCGCCTCTGATCAGAATTGCGATGAGAGCATGCAGATGAATGAAGGCGAGGCGCGGAGCAGGGAGACAGACGCAGGGCTGCACACATGTGGCGCACGCTGCCCTCGCCTCCGTCCCCTGCACACGCACTCCCACACACATGTCTGAGCGCCCCGTCTTGCAGAGTCACGAATGGTGAGCAATGGCCGGAAGAGAGTTCTGGACAGCAGGGAACCAACTGGCTCCAGGGTTTAGGGGATCCTTCGCACTTTCCTGGTTGTGAGCGCTTGCCAACCCGCCTTCATCCATCCTTAGCTTAGAGAGAGGACAGCAAGAGCAGGCTCGCTAGCTCCAATAAAGGGTTTCAACCTTTAGATGCAATTGTTTGTTTACTTGGTGAGGGAGAAAACGCAGGCTCCTTACATGGGAATTGCCTCTGGGTCCCTAAGACAAGGAGTATTTAACTTTAAATATATTGCCCAGATCATTTCTAGGTTGCAGATTCCTACCTCCATCCCCAGAATCTTCCCTTTGCCTCCCATGCTATCATTCTAGGGATTAGGAAAACGGGAGATGGGGAGGAAAGATGCACAAAAAGATGTTTAGAAATCAGGACCCAAACCCCCTCCTGGTGTTTACCTCTGCCCTTCTGTTACCTGCCCTGGTGGCTCTCCACCCAGGAGTCATTATACATTTAGGGAAGGAGGGTGTGTTTCAATCGCAGTCTCACTAAATCTCTAAGGAGTCAGGGGAGGCTGTGGTTCTCTCCTTGGATTTTGTGAATGGGTGTTTGTAGCAGGGAGGTGCTATCTTCCTGGAATGCTTACTGAAAGGACCCAAAGCGCTGGGAGCTGTCCCTTCAGCACTTTTGCCAGAACTCGGTGGAAAAGATGGGGTGCCTTAGACTTCATCTAAGGCTTCTGGTAAATAAACTCTGAACTTCCAACTTTGGTGAGCTCCTAGCCATTTTTTTTCCCCCAAAAGGACTTCTAGCATAGGAGATACTTCTGGTAGGGGCAGAGCTTGGTTAAGCAAAGGTAACCCTAGTCCATGCCACTCCTAGGTTAGGATTCTACAAGTGTTCCTTGATTTTGTGCTGCAGCACAATCATCTTCCAAGATGAAAGCATAAGGCAGGTGATTGAAATGACAAGGAATCTAGCATTAAAGACCGCATCCACAGTTGGGTTTGGTTATCTTGTGAGTTTTCAAAGGGAAATGTTAGCAGGAAATTCTTTCAGGAAAAAAAATCGTTGAGGAAGGGAGAATTGAAGACCAGCTTATGATACCCTATTTCTGGGCAGGAGCTGCCTACTCTGTTGAGACTTAACAAATGTTTATATATTCTTAAAGGTACCCATTAAAGAAACATCATAACTTCCCCATTTGACATGACCCAATTTTTATTTAATTTGTTTGTCCATTAATTTAGTTGTTTATTGAGCAGTTCTGAGACTAAAACTCACTTTAGTAAGGTTTGAAATCTGAGGTTAACAATAAAAAAACATAGTTTGTTTGTTTTTTAATCTGATAATATATAATGCAATTCCATGGTTTTGTTTTGACTCAACAAAGACCGATGGTCCTAAAAATGTGATCTTTTAGTGTATTTTTCTCTTAGTTGAATTGTTGCAGCTTCTTTTACTCTTCTCTGCAAATTGAGAATAACTTTATTTCCTATACCTAATGAATACAACCAAATCACCATACCGATGATGTTTTTATAAGCACAGCCACTGAAACTTGATCATTTGTACAGTAATCTCTGAGAGTAAATCCAATCACATCTTGCTTCAGACTGTAAGAGTCATGTTACTATCCAACAGGAATCGATTGCATAGTGATTCCATATATTTTGAAACAAGTAGTTATAAATAACTATTGGGTATATCTTCAAATATAGCACACATATGAAAAT